AAGTACGGCCATGAGCACCCAGCCTCAGGGGTTCTTGACTTTGGTCTCTGAACTCGCACAGTGTGAGGGCTTTGGCCGCTGAGCCCTAACCGGGACCGTTTCCTGAATGGACTGATGGCGGGCTGTGTGCGCCTCCTCTTGTGGTTTATGTGGGAGGACATGGGGAGCTGTGACGGGCCAGAGCAGGGGCGTCCCAGAAGCCTCAGGGCTGGGGTGTCACCCCACCTCCTCTGCACCTGACACCCCACCCCCACCTCAAACACTGCACCCTGGCTCTGGCCTCACCCATGTCCCCCACTGCCTGCCGAGAGGTGCAGCTGACAGATGCGGTGCTGTGTGCGCCGGGCAGGGCTCACGACGGCCCCGAAGCCCAGCAGCGGGTGTTCTTCCCACAGAGGGGCAGATCTGACCCTCTGGAGCCCTGGGTACGAGCTGGGCTCCAGACCCCACCCTCCCCAAGGTGCCTCCCATCTGCAGGGGGTATCATCAGCTCACTTCAGGACAGGGCTACCCTTGTACACTCCTCACTCTGGAGCCCAGTGTCCCTGACTTTTTACCTTTTTATTTTTTTATTTTATTTATTTATTTATTTATTTATTTATTTATTTATTTATTTATTTATTTATTTTTTAATGCTGGGCGGCAGTGGCGTACACACTTGGGAGGCAGGCAGAGGCAGGTGGATCTCTGTGAGTTCGAGGCCAGCCTGGTCTACAGAATGAGTTCCAGGACAGGCACCAGAACTACACAGAGAAACCCTGTCTCAAAACAACACAAAACAAACAAACAAAAAACCCAAACATTTATTTATTATTTATTTATTATGTATACAGTGTTCTGCCTGCATGTGTGCCCAGAAGGGGGCACCAGGTCTCACGGATGGCTGTGCTACCATCAGGTCCTCTGGAAGAGCAGCCAATGCTCTTAACCACTGAGCCATCTCTCCAGCCACCCACTAGACCTTGTCAGTAGAAACAAGTTCCCTGACTCCCGCCGCCTCCGTGAGGTTGCCGACACCCATCTAGCTGGGCACCCAGCATTCAGAGACTCCTCAGTCCCTACGCTCCAACGGTGCCTTCCTCCAGACAGCCTGCCCTGACACCAGCCCCCCAGTTCAGAGCCGGGACATCTCCTGTGTGAAGCAAAGTCCCTGAGCACACCGGGCCACTCTGCTTCACCAGGCTGAGCCATTTGGGACAAAAATAGGTCTAGGAGTCACCCATGATCCATCTGCAACCCTAGTGGAGTGCATGTGATGCAGGTGCTCAGTGGGATGGGTGTGTGGAAGGACAGTTGGACACTTGCATGTGTGCATTAGCGGGTGGATGGATGGGTGGATGGATGGATGGATGGATGGGTGGATGGATGGGTGGATGGATGGGTGG